CACATTTATTTGTGTATGTATGTATGTTTTTGTGTATCTATATATATATATGCATTTATATATATATATATATATATATATATATATATATATATATATGTACGTTTTTGTATATATATATATAAATATAAACTGTCATATATATATATATATATATATATATAGAAGTTTATATATATATAATATATATATGCATATATATTTGTATATATATATATATATATATATATGTGTGTGTGTATATATATGTATACGCATATATATATATATATATGTATTCGCATATATATATATATATATATATATATATATTTATGTATATATATAAATGTATATATATATATATATATATATTTATGTATATATATAAATGTATATATATATATATATATATACTTATATGTATATATATAGGTAGAACGGTTTGTCGGTTCTGCTTTGTGATTGTCTATGTTACATTCGTGTATATTACCTAATAATGATTTTTTCGTGGTTTAATCGGCACCCAATGACATTCTTACTTACCATGTGTTTTCATGACCTGACAGTTGTATCGATTTTAATATTGATCTTTTCATCCTACGCGCAAATACCTCAGTTTTTGTGCATTTCTGCCAGAAGAAACTTGGTAATGGTCGACGTCTATTTGATCTTCCTAAAATACATCTGTCGGTGTTGATGGTACTGTTCTTCATTGGAGCTGTGCTTTCTGTTTATGTCGAATTCCCACACTTTCTACAGGTATGTGTGCGTGTGCATCATGCCGTTTCACGTTGCGCCCATTCATTATTGTTGATGTATTACATGTGAAGATCGGTTTACGCAGAAGCAGAGACTGCACATACGTGTTGTCTACGCTTGGCACGAGGGAGAGGTAGATATATAATGACTTAATAAGTGCTTTTTTCACATGACAGAAGTACATACACAATATCACAAAATACAGTATGGTCACTGCAGTTGATTATAGATACTTGAACTAGTTTTCTAACTAGAGTCGTTTACCGGATGTTGTTGAATATTATTCCCGGTGAGAAGTTGAACAGTTGTTGGGGTCGCCTGTTTCTTATTGTTCTTCGCTATCCCAGCGTATTCCATGCCATAAAGTAGAAAGAAAAAAATTGTGCACAGTATATATATGTTTATGTACTTATACTTATTAGTATATGTTGATAAAGATTCATAGTGCACTTATAGTATGTAAACGTCTATGTGTATCTTCACCTAATATTTCACATTGATAGGAGATCAGATACAACTGCAGGTAATATCAGCTCGGTTCGTTAGAGCGATTCGAGCGTCTCCGTTCGTGTTGCAACGCTAATAGATTCTGCGAATCCGCTTGTGGTGCACAGAACACTGACCCCGAAATTCAGGCGCTCAAAGCTGAAGGAAGGAGAATATGTGAGGTAGAAATGAAGATGGGCAATTTGATCGAAGGTATGGTTCCAGTACATATGATCTACTAGAAGTGATTGGGTATATCCACGTAGCAAACGCTTGCGCTTCCTTGTTGGTGATGTGTTTGTTCCGAGTCGTGTCTGCTTTCTATACGTTACCATGCATTTGCCGCGTCTTGTGCTGTTCGCCGTATGAGCTGTACCCTGCGCTTGGTGTATGTACTCTTTTGTTGCTCGAGTAAGTATAACTGTACTAATACATTTCTGTCTGCTCCATTTTTGGACTTGGATATCGGTAACATAATCATGGCGACAGTGGAGTGTGTATTTGTGCCCCATACCACTGTTGTGGTGTGTATGCATTATATGTATGCTCACGCTGTATTGTAGGACTGAACCACACCTATGCTCGAGCACATGCATGATAAAGAAGTGGTTGTATTATCTTATTTTTAATTCCTGCGTGTTTCTTACTAGCTGACCAAGCACTCAGGGCAGCCGGAATCACTTCGAAGCAGTTGGCAGCCGAATTCTCCAAGAAGGCCAGACAGGACATCGATCGAATGCTAAGACCCATCGTAAACAGGTTTGTTAGGATGAATCGGAATAGCTGTCTATTCCTGTGAGCATAATAGAGAGATTATCATTTGATATATGCACGTGTACGAATACGGTGAATGTTGACGAATAGCGGAATACGCTAGATGTATGTACCTTCTTCCGTTGAATGTGATTTCGACGTCTACCTGAGTCAAATACGTCTTTGTGTTCTGTGACGTCTATGTTCATATGACCTGCAAACAATCTACAGGCCCACAACTGTCTCGGTGTCATAGCTGTCCTTCCCCGTCTTGGTTTGTTGTCACGTGTCGGGCTCTGTAGTCAATTTGCCAATGCACACTTTCGTATCATGGGGAATTATATTGCGAGCATGCCTGTGCGGCATGAGCATGAATAGGAATAGCATGTATTTCTTCTATGCGATACGCATTGACCTCCCTGAGGGGTTGATGTGATGCTAATGATTTCAGTACGTATATTGTTAGCTTCAGATTGTCCTTGAATAATAATAAAAATTTAATTATGAAAATTATTTTCAATGTTATCTATGTCAGATCAATATCACCCTTCCATCGGCTACTGCCCTTAACCCCCTCGTCGCATAAATGTGTTTTGGTACAACTATATTCATAATTCATCCTGTGGATCTTGTTTTATCGACTGCAGGGTGTTCATCAATGGTCTTGGGGTTGCATGTGCACCGCTTCCTTTCTTCGCCATCTTGGTAAGCACTTTGATACAAGAGTGGTATACGAACGTACAGGAATTAGTGCGTGTTTTATAAATGGAACCATGGGCAAAGAATCTTCTGGATATAATACCGGTGTATCGTGACTCCGGAAATGTACCTTTTATAACGTCGCCGTATGTGTTATGTTTTGGTGCCCATTACTTCGAAGGTACTGAAGTTGTTTGTGACTGTGACGCACTGTCTACAACCACGTGCACCGACCGCTTGTAGCGATGATGATTATCGCATTCTGCGCCATTGTATACAAATCACAGATCACAAATCCAACAGTATACAATGAGTCTATTCAAAATGTTTCGAATTTTGAAAGATCCGATGTAGCACTGAATAAATGAATTTACTAATTTTTCTCGCATTGAAATTATCGTGGAATCGGTCATCCATTCAGTCAGCATTGTACGCGAAGTCGTTCGGGATTTCCACTCCGCTAGCAATTGATCGTGGCATTGCACAGGCCGGGTTCATTGATTTGGTATGGTCTTCATCTTTGTGTCTAGTGTATCTCAAGATCTATCCTGGAACGTTGGTAGATCGTTGTACTATTACTATCAAATAGCGCAAGAGACTGTATCAGATATGCATCAGATATTTCCTGCCTTTGCTGCGATATGCAAGTAAGAGCGGATCTTTACTGTATGCAAGTAAGAGGGAATCTTTACTGCATGGTGTAAAGGTTCGGATTCCAATTTTATGAAACGTTTATCGCGTCCGATTAGCTCTATGTACAGAGTATCGAATCATATTTGCTGAGTGTGGGAGGTTTGAATCTGATAGGGCTATCACTCGGATCCGACACATTCTCTTGTTGACACACTTGTTCTTTTTTTGTGTATTAAAAGTAAAATTGGCGGAAATATCAGAGTGTGTTACGCAATTGTCATCCTCGATGTATTTTCTCAGCTCTCTCATGAAAACATTCTATATCGATACTTGTTGTGACGATATATGTAAGAACGTATATCTTAGATAGATAGCAAGCGTCACATGATCCCGTCGTTGTCCATAGGTTCATATGAGACATCAAATTTCGGTGTCATGGTACCTGTATGAAAATGTTTTGAGGATCTGGCATCATATGGCCCTTGTTAATTATAGGTTCGCACGGGATCTGTATACGGTATCATCTGGACGGCCCTGTCCTTCTTCGTGTACTTTGTCTTCATAGAATCCCATCAGTATGACCAATGCATGGAAATTTCAGGTAAGTCTCTGAACGGTCGTTGATCTGACTTTGTATATTACTCAATTCATGTGGTCGTTACCTTTGCATGTGCCCGCGGACGGACATTGACACCTTTGTTGTTCGCTTAACTATTTTAACCATTTTAAAACACGCATATATATATATATATATATACATATACATATACATATATTATATATATATATATATATATATATATACTAATATATA